CAGTGGCAGCCTGCCCTCACCCCGTGCACGGACACACCTCCCCTGTGCCTCCCCTGGGTGAGCATAGAGCAGGAGGAGCCGCCTCCTGCCCTCCCCAGACAAGCAGTGGCTCTGTCCTGTGCCCTGGCTGTGCAGCCCCTGCCCCAGTCCTGCTCCCTCACTGCAGAGGCCTCAATCTGCCCCCACAATACCCCTTCCCTCCTCCACCCCTGCTCCTTCCCCCAACAGACTTACCAGCCAGACACTGCTCTCCCAGCTGCTGGACTGCATATGAGCAATCAGATCAGTATTGGCCAATATGGCTAGTTAATAATCGGTCATCAGTATTGGCCCAAAAAATCTTTATCAGTGTACCCCTAATACTGTATTTATAGTTCATTATGCATGTCTTGCATAAAAATGTTAATGTCACAACACAATTTGAACAGTTAAAAGGCAACCAAGTAATCAGAGAAGCATGAAATACATGCACAACTTGCTCTATATCCTTACAATGTTGCATCTCTGTCCCGTTTTCTTAGCCGCAGCTTTTATCCTAGAGTTAGGATATAAGCGTGTTCAAAACAGCTAGTGTAACAATGGCACTGTATTGACATATAATTATATTAAAAAAAGATTAATCATGTAATGATCTGCAATCCCAAATTAAACATACACATTGTGTTGTTTTTTTGAGGACTGAGCAGATTACTACTTTCCTGGGATGGCATGGAAGCAGGATTTTCTCTCTGAACGAGATGGCAATATTTTCCAGCACTTGGCATGTTGTTTCTTGGCTGATTTCCAGCAGTCACAAGGGATATGAGTCTGTTTCATAACTGGGGCTTGTTTCTGCAGACTTCTTGAGATCAAACTCTATCATGGTGGACTTTAAAAGTAGTCTGTTCTTGATCACAATGAATTACTTTGCTTCCTGTACTTGATGCCATAGTCTCAGAGAAAGCCTTGTTCTGATAAGAGTTTGTGCCACAGTTTGTAGGTACCATGATAACTGCAGAAAATCTAAAAGATCTGATGAGGCATTTTAAAAAGATATGAATCGTTTTTACTCATGCTTGGCTACATTTATGCAACCCTAAAGGAAAACAGCTGGGTTGCACAAATGTATCTCTGAAGCCATAATTCTGCTTGTAAAATCTTCATTACTGGTAGTGACTTATAAGATGGGAAAAATCCATCCATGCCAAAGGTAGAGTTGTGGGATTAACAAGTATGTTAGAGCTAACTTCTATAGCTCGGCAGAAGCCACCAGCAGGCCCACCTGTATGCCATGTGGACTGCACCAGTCAAACCATAGACCACTGGGCTGCACAGACACACCCCCCACCGTTACATAGTTAAATATTTCCCTTAGAAGGCTTGGGGTTTTAGTTGGCAGGCAAGGTTCTTTGCATAAATCTGGTATTTTTTATTAGACCAACTAAAATAGTTGAAGAAATTCTTCTTTGCAAGCTTTCAGGTACAAACACCCTTCTTCAGGCAAAGGAAGTCTCTGCAGCTGTTATGCACTCTTCCTTTCTTGTGTTCCTTAACTACTCCTGGAAGTGCCAACATTCAGCTGACCAGCTTTCTCTAGAAGCTGTACAGCAATACCACATGCAAGAGATAATTTTAATGTTGCAATGAGTTATGAGTAGCTGTGCTTTTCCCCCTGCTCTCCAAAAGAGCAGCAAAAAAGTCACTGGAACTGGCAGCACCGGTGCTACATAGTGCTTTTTGTATATTTTGATGAATCTCTTTTTTTTTTTAACTAAGAGTTATAAACCTTAATGGTTTCTTAATAATGCAGCTGTATAAAAAGACAGAAATATAAAAATAAGTGCTTAGAGTGAAATTTGCTTCTGTAGGAAAAAGAAAAACAGAAAGGAAATAGTGTAGGCTGCAGAGAGGGATGTAATTTGGCTAAGATCCTTTCTTCCCTCCCTCCCCCAATGTTTTTTGTTTACTCATATACACTTTTTAATTCTAATAAGCTAGTTTTACTGAAGCCATTTTATAGACTGTGACTCAGCTGCTTTAATGCCGCCGACCAAACGCATACATTCTTTGTAAGAGACTAAGCAAGCTGGGAGGAAGGAGAAGAAAAAAAAAGAAAGATTTTGTTGGCTTCATACTTCTCAGCGTGGGATTCCTAGAGCCTACATTTATAGTACACAACCAAGCTTGTAAAGAACTTGCACATCCCAGGCAACCAAAAAAGGAAGAAAAACAGTGGGTACAGACACAGCAGCTTTGTAAACTAGTGCTTCTGTCTTTAAAGGAGTTCCTGCACCACTTATACCTTAAGAAGTAAATGTTCTGATTAAACTTCCAAAACAGTCAGAATCCACTAATGAGAAGGAAAGAACACAAATTTTTCTGTAGAAAAAACTGTCAACACCCTTATGCCAGTTGAAGGCTATTTAAATTATGAGCAAAAACTTTTGTTACATTGTTCAATTCATCCAAACTTTATCCCTCAATATAGTTGTGTACTGAAGAACAGCATAATTTTTCTGAAGAGCTGCTCTCTGGAATAGAAATCCAATCTCCTGATTAAAGGGCCCACAGGACGAATATTGTTTTCAGAGAACAGTTGGGGTCCTGGAAAAGTAATGCAGACAAGGAGCATTAGCTTGGGATAGCCTTTCTGCAAGACCTGCAGGAGGGAGTGGAAATGTAAAATGTCTTTGTAATACAAGGCTCCAGACAGACAACGCCATAAAACGTCAAATAAACCCTGATCACCCTCTTGCCTTCCCATCCATTCAGAGTCCAAAGAGTAATGTGAATCTTACGACAACTAGACAATTAGGTTTGTGTGGTCCAGTCAGCATTTTCATTTCTATAGCAATCTTTGACTCTGAAAGATTACTAAACTCTGGAGAAAATACATAAATGACATGTCACTAAAATGACGCCACTTCTGGGATGGAGAACAGCAACTTGACCATGTCCCCCTCCCACCAAGGTGGGAGGAAATTTGATCAAATATAAAGGCAAATCCTTATTCTTATGAAAAGTGCCATTGGCTTTCATGTCCAAAACCAGCTTGGTCTTCAGTAAGTAGAAGTGTGCCAGGAAATAAAATCCTAAAGATAAGAGAGAAGTTGTAATTCTAATATACATCAGTAGGTTGGCATAAACTTAGGATTCATCCAGTGTTGATCTCGACCTGCGTGTGAAAACTATGAAGTGCCTTGGGCTTTACTAGAATTTTAGTGAAGGTTAGTTAACATGTTAGCTTAAAAATAGCAAGAATGCACCTTAGACGCACCTGTAGAGCAAAGAGAATCCTAGCTTTCAAAGTCTCATCCAAAAAACAATCAATGAAATAAAATTTATGGATCTCAGTTTAGTACTTCAGAACACTGGATGGCTGAGTTTTTGACCCAACTAGAATTTGAACTTATAGCTCAAGGGAGTTTACTTATTTGTCTGAGTAGCATCAAGAGGCTGCTGAGATCATGGAAGCTCCAATGTCCTTGGTCCTGCATAACAATAGAGTAGGAGAATGACCCTGTACTCAGTTACAGGCTGCAGATAAATGAAGCAGGAAAATTATTTATCATATGTATTTTTCAGCTGGGAAGTGAAAGAGAGTAAGGGTCAGATTATCAAGAGAGTTCCTTACTAACAATCAGACCTTGATTTTCCAGAGATGTCAGTAACTAGATAGATTACTGAAAATCTAATCCTTATTAGGTGCTTAAATGGAAACCATGTGCTTGAAGCTCAGGTGCACTGGAAAGCTGTACGAACATAGAAGGCCACAGGTACCCTAATCCTGTGAGGGGAATCTCACTTCTAGGGTTTTAATCTATGACAAAAATGTTTATTCCTAGACAAGAACTATTAAGATGGAGCTAATGTTGCTTTCAGTTATGATGATAACTTTCACAACGTTCCCAAGAAATAAAGCAAGACTGTAATTTGGAAGGATGGTGATCTCTCACACTGTCAGGATGAGGACCAGAGCATTGTGAAGAGCTGATGAATAAGTACAGGGGCCTTGGTCACAGTGAAAAAAACAAAACAAAACAGGGGAGGCCACTTTGGAAGGGTGCAGGTCTTCATGGATTTCTCTGAAGCAGAATTTTTCTGCCTTTGTTAAAGATACTTTCAGTTGTAAAAAACTGGAAAATTATCATAAAATCCTACAAAAACATTTTAAAATGCTATGTGTGTACAAAACTGCAATGATTTAACGATATGAGAAGCTTGTAGACCTAAGTATTAAGAAACAAAATTATGATACAATGTTAAATTTCTTAAGATCCATTTCTAATTAAATTTAACTCCAACACTTATTCATACATTCTCCAGGAAAAAATATTCTTTACTGAAAAAGCTAAGGAAGATAAAACTGTATTTTTAATACATAAAATTACTGAATCTCCACTTTGGGTACAAACATCTTAACTATGGATGTTGTAAGACCTATTCATTATACATGCCACCTTCTGGCTGTAAAAACCTTCTGGGAAAAGGTAAATGAGTAAATGAAGAGCAACACAAAAATAGACAGACACCAAAAGAGTATAAAATTATGGGTAGCTTAACCAGTTACTTTTAAAAATTCCATTACAAAGGACTCCAAATTCTTACAACAAATCACTAAAGTAGGCATGGCTTTAAGAATCTTTAAAAATGTGTACAGTAGTGTTTAACTATCATTTTAAGACCCATATACATACAAGAGCCATAATTTAATTAATCAACTCTACAGTAAGTGAACATGGAATAAATTTAAGTTATAATGCAATTTTATGCTGTTACATAATAGAATACCTGGAAGACTACCATGAACAACAAACTCGCTAGTAATGATTCATAAGTAAGTGTTAACAAATAAGGAGGGTTATTTCAATACTTGAGTGACTTGTTAAACACTAACTACAGCAGAAGTCCTTTCTAGGGGGATATTTATTTACAAAGGAATTCATTCTGGCCAATGCTTTGTACAGTTAAAAAGACTACAGCAAAATAGTTTGTTACCTGTTTTACTGTCCCACCCCCACCATCCTTACAGCTTTACTCAACTGGAATGAAATACTGGCCCATCCAGGTCAGTAGCAAAACTCCCACTGACCTCAGCAGGCAAAGATTTCAGCCTGAGAATCAATCATATTCTTTGGAAATAAAATCCATCTTTTTGTATAATGTGCAAAGTGCAATCTCTCTCCAGTGCTATCAGAAAAGATGTTCTAAGGACTCAGCCACAAAATCAATGGTAATGATTAAAGGATCTTACTAATTTTAGGAACCCTAGCTAGGGTGAATGTTGGATGACATATACAAAGATTTATGACAGTTATAATGATTTCATACAGATACTCAATGTCGCATCATTTCCCAAGAGATCTCACTGGGTCAAGCCAAAGACTTTTCATTCAAGTTCTTCAGTTTCCTCTGTAAAAAGGTCTGCCAGATCAGCGACTGTCAAAACTGAGGCTTCTGACTGTTTCATGGAAGAACTAGTGTGGCTGTAGGGAAAAGTATCTGAGTCAGAGAACGGTTCCAGAAAAAAGCTGTGTGCAATAGAGAATAAATATGCAGTTGCAGAGTACATTAAAATTACACTCTAGTGAACATCCAAAAGGAAGATGGCATGGGAGAGCATGCCTATTATTGTGCTTAACCAAAAGCAGCATGAACCATCCTGTTTATTACTTTGGGGGCATTTTACAAAAAGCTTTTCCAGTAGGCAATTTTAAAGACAAAGCAATTGAAATACTATGGCTCAGCATTATGTGGAGATTAGCAATGGAGGAACGTGCTCTATGCCTTGGGCTGAAGTCAGAGCTGTGACTGAGGGTAAGTGGAGCAGAGGCAGTGGAGGGTAGCAGCTCCAACTCTGACCCCAAACCTGGATTGAGGCTGGAGTTGCAGCAGCTACCTGCCCTTGCATCCCCTTATACTCAAATTTAAGATAAGGGGCATTCCCCCTCCATATTGAGAAGGGATGGAAGGATGGGGAGGAACACATGTCATCTTGGATTCAAGTAAATAAGGTAAAATTAAAATGCATATCCAGTAAGGGGAGGGTCAGACCCTATACCATATAGGACATGGGCAGGCAATTATTTTGGGCAGAAAGCCGCTTACTGAGTATTGGCAAGCCATCAAGGGTCACATGACAGGCAGCCAGGGCAGACTGATATTAATTTTCTAAATTTTTTAAGGGCCCCGCAGGTCAGATGGAATGTCCTGGCAGGCCGCATCTGGCCCGCAGGCTGCATTTTGCCCACCCCGATATAGGATATGGCCATGTGGATTTAGATGCCCAAGTGGAATCTCATTTCACCCTGCTTGGATCCCTGAAAAATTTAACACAAAAGATAGATGAATCCTCTTCCTCTTTGCTGCTTTTCTGTGCCTTAAGGTTAAGATGACTGCACATTACTAAAATAAATCCACTAATGAATTTTCAGGGGCCTGAACAGGGTGAAATTGGTGCCAAAGTCTACTTACGTATATAATAGGTGGAGTAGGTTCTGGCTCATTATATTTATGTTTTATATTTCATCTCAAGCTAGTGAATATCCATCCTGGTTAAAAATCTCACTTTTCCAAAGTTTTTGTAAATTTTTTGTGACATAGTGAAAACATTTCAGAGAAGAGCAAAAGTTTAAAGTGTTTTCATATGATCGTGAACAGCATGAAAATGTTTGAAAAGTACTCTTTTTACTGGGGGGAGGGGGGAGAAAAATCAAATAATGTTTTTAAACTCCCTCAATTGAGAAACATACCTTCTCTCCACAGTTTTCAGCATCATCTGCATCCTTTCTTCTATTGTCGCTTTTATCAAGAACCTGTGCACAATGGTGGGCCTGAATGTGTTTAAAAAAAACAACCAAAAACCAGAAAAGTTTAGCACAGTTGAAATTTTGTTGGATACTGTCAAGAAGTTCAGGACCAATTTTTAGCTATCTTAAAATTCTTTTAAGCTGGTCTGAAAATGTCTTTTGGATTTTAGGGTCAATCCCACAAGATGCTGAGCAACCTCCACCAAGAGTTAAAGAATACCCAGCACTCCTTATCATGCCAACAGCACTGACCTAAATGAATGAGAAATAAATTACATCCTAACAAACATTAAGCAAAACTCCACCCTCATTTTCACTAGTGCTCAAACTATGTCTTTTACCCAGGAGTTTGTCCAGAATAACACAATGCCAGAAGGACTGCTCATAGTGGGGGGGGGGTGGTTCCTGAACTTCCTGTGCACAAGAACTGTGATGGAGCCTGTGGTGTTCACAATATATAAGGACCAGTCACAATCTACCTCTGTATAGTCTACTGTTTATACAGTATGTGCAGTGTTTTATATTCTGCTGCTGCAGAAAAAGTCCAAGAGAGGGAGCTCAAAATAATGGCTTGTTAAGCCTCATTCCCATAGTTTTAATAGCACTGGTATTAGAGAAGACAAGACAGTAAACAGAACTGTAGTTTATACGTCACATAAAACAGGGTGAAAAATCAGTTTACCAAAGGGAGAAGAACAAAGCTGGAGGAGATAAAAATTCTCAGGGTTCTGAGGTGGGGATACATGGGAGCATAAAACCCAAAGGCTGTACCTGTGAACCAGTGTGTAGTCCTTCTAAACATACGACTTCAGAACACACGTTTACATAGGAAAATGGAATCAAGGCATTAACTACTGCTCAGCCAGGACCTGACTCAAAGTCCACTCAAGTAACTGAGAGTCTTTCAAGCCACAAACTCATTTTACTAAAGCACGGAAAACTACTCAGATAGGCAAAGGGAAGTATCAGCACAACTCTATGCAGAATAGGAGACTAAATCAAGACCAATTTTACTGACTTGAGTTACTTCAGATCTGTACTTGTGAAACCTAGAACAGAATTTGGTTGAACTGTCTATTTCACTTACACATAGCCCTCAGCTTAACCCAAGGTTAATCAATGGATATAACACAACATGCTGCTACTACACACAGTTCTGTTACACAGGGTTGTATTTTTTTGCCATACCCTGAACTTCTAGTGCCAGCATCATGTGAAATCATAATACAGGCTGTTGTAATCAATCTGATCTATGTGCTCATAGTTGATTCAAAATATTTACCACCACACCCAAACATACACCTGCTCATACATTCTTTCATACAAGCTGATTCATGCCCTCATAAAATAAACATGTTATCTTTATTCAGGAATACATTTGTTCCAGCTATGTTTCTATATCATGTGTTACTGTTTTTATTTTCCAAGTTACTTTTGACCTAAGTAGGTGAACATTTATATATAAACCATACTGCATGAACTTTTAAAGGGCTTGGTTCAGTGCTCTGCAACATCAATACAGCTGCACAAAGATTCATCTATGGTTCAGAGAGATTAAGGTGAAAATATGGAAACAATGAATTTAAAATTAGCAAATGCACTAACAAAAAGCATACTATACCTGGTGTTAATGTACCAACCCATCGTTTTACAGTCATATTAAATCATTCATTTTCAGGGTGATGGTATGAAAGAACAGAACATAAAAAACTGTAGATATTGTATGAAGGGGAAACTGAATGGTGATTCAACAGTAACTGTATTTTTGACGGCACCTTATCAATTAATGGTTTTAAAGTAAACAACTAGTATTCACTTTTGAAAATTACTATAAAGAAAGAATTTAGAGGAATGTCAAGTGCTTTCAGTTCAATATGAAAAAAACGATACAAACTGATGTTTTCTGAAATAAATTATTGCTTTTTTTTTTTGAAGTGAGTTTCCCTTTAAGGGAGGACTGGATTAGAAAAAAGGATGTGCACCAGACGGCCCTCAGTGCAAGTGACAGAACACGCTCATCTAGAATTTTAAGATACACAGAACATAAGCTATGATAATCAACACACACCAATGCCAACTAGTGCTATGTACCGTACTTACAAGCATACCAGGTAAATACAGGTATACAACTGTACAAAAAAGTGTCAATCTTATTTTGTTGCTTATTGATAACATCAGGCCTGTCCAACTTCTCAGGGACTGCACCCTCCACCCCACCAAACCATGGGACCCTGTGGTGTGCAGCCCCCATGGCTCTGCTGCACTATATGGGCACTGAGGAATCTACAACCTACTGACTTTCAATGAGAATTAAGATCCAAGGACTGGATCCTAAAAAGGGCTTATATACTACAATAGCAGTGTTTCAATGCTCTTCCAGTGCAGTGAAGAACCACTATAGTAGATCTATATAGTGTAGCGCTATCCCAAGAAGCTCTGCACATGCTAGCTCTTGAACCAGATGCATTATAGCTGTATTTGCATAGTGCTGTATCTGGACTAATAAGCTTTGTCAAGAAACTAACAGACACCCTTAAGGCACCCAGGCTCCCCATACAATGCTTAGGGAGGGTTACGCACCTAAAAATGGAAATGAGAGCAACCAGTATATTGTATGGGGAACTGCTGAGCAGCAAGGCACTGCCTAGTACTAGCCAAGGAACTGCAAAGAACAGGTAAGCGTCTTCAGCCACAACCCCCTCAAGAGCTCAAGCGCCTAACTCAGGGCTGTGGGATCTGTACTTGACTACAGACCACAAGCCTTTCCTGAAGGGAGGTGCTTACAAGCTGTCTCTCAGGAATGCAGCAGGAACTCTTTAGTTTTTAAATGTCAGGAAGTGGGTATGATAGTACCCACGTTTACCTGGGGGTGGAGGGTACTGTTGGCAAAATAGGATAGTGGTTAAAGCAGTAACCTGAGTTGTAGGGGAGACAGATTAAGATACCTTCTTTGCCTAACAGGATTAAAACCCACCTCCTAGAACAGTGTCCATCATCACCAGACTACAGGCTCTCCTGCGTCTCAGATGGGGGCATTCATCACCTCTTATTGAATCTTTCCCACTGTGTGCTGGCACTTGCTCCATATTATTTTTATAGTTTGCATAAAACAGTTTTCAGAACAGGAATCCATATATGGGTATTACCCAGTAGGTTAAATCATAGTCTCTGTGGTCCAATGAATCTTGGAATTCTTCTCTGCAGAATGGCACAGGTCCAGCAATGAGGAGAGGTAAGTTCTCCTGTTCCAGTTAAGCCTTTTTCACTAGTTTAATGGCTAAAGCAGTCTTCTGTGGAAGCAGATGTGGCTCTGAATCCCCACAGGCACAACACATTTTAACATAGGTCTTCCACATCCTGGTGACTGCCCTAACCAGTAAGCAGCAACCATGAAGCTATTACCTTTCCCTCTGCTCTTAAAGAAAGCAGAAGCTACCACTGCATTTTGTGCATATGCCAGTCCTGTAGAAGCATGTTAAAGCATGCTCTGAGTACACTTACTAGATTGAGCTCCTTTGGGCACTTAGGCAAGGGAATACCAAGTTTCAAGATCTGATCAGACTTCTGGAGAAGTTCAGTGTTGAACTGTTCAGCCATCTTTAGACTAAGGAAATTCTGGGGGTGCACAGTGTCACGGCGTGGGGCCTACGAGCAGCCGTGATCCCGCTAGCGCCCCCTTGCCGTGGCAATTAGGAGATCAGCACCCTCTTATTCTCGCCCGCCACGTCTTTGATCTTATATACTGTAATATGGGAGGCTGCCTATGATCTCCTGAGATTTAAGGGTGACTTGGTGCACCCCCAGCCTTATGGGCTATGCATGCCTCCTACCTCCCCTTTAGCATGCCCCAAGCCTCGCAGTAGTTCCTGACGTTCTTGTGTCTCCAATCTTCCGCTAGCCCTCCCCGGGCTTCACTCTTACCAGCTGGCCCCCCCAGGGGCCTAGGCCACACGCTTCCCACGCTCTTGCCCCTCACTGGGACCTTTGTCTGCGCTACTCGCGCCCGTGGCTTTCTCTCAGCCGGTCCCACACTCTCGCGCCTGTGGCTCTCCCGGAGCCTGCTTCCGCCCGCTCGTGCCCTTGGCTCCCGCCGAGCCGGCCTCCGCACTGCTCGCGCCCTTGGCTCCCGCCGAGCCTACGTGCCAGCCCTGTCTCGGGCTTCCCGGCGCTGGGGCTCAGGTGGCATGCAGCCGTGCCTGGCCCCCTGACCCTTCTCAGGGTCCTAGGCCCTCCCTGGGCCGAATACTGCCCTCTCGGGCTGGGGTCTCAACCCCACACACCGCACCACGCTGGTGCCAAGTTGCCGCGCCTTCCCGGCGCTGCTCAGTGCCCGCACAGAGCACCCAGGAAACCCGCGGACTACTTGGGATCTCCTGTGAGGCCTCCTCACACCCCTACAGCCTCACCCGGTCCTCCGGATGATATACACAACTGAATCATGAGCCAACCGGCTGCAACCAAAATCATAAGCCTACCGGCTATAACAACACAATCAGTCTACTGGCTTCTACATCAAGTCCCGGCCGTCCTGGCTCTCGGGCCAAAGCCTTCTGGTCAGGCTTCTCTCCGCCTGCACCATAATGCAGCCCTCTATGTGCCAAGAGGCACTGC